TAACTGTATTATTGACTCATTATTATATCCCCTTTGATTTCTTTTTTTTTTTCCGACCATATATTTTTCATATCATGTTCACTATGCAATTTCTTTTTTCGAATTAATCACAGTCACTTGAATTTCTATCCGTAAATGATCAAAAAAAAAAAAAAAAAATCATTTACATTTTTTTTTAATCATTTATGGTGCACGAGTTGCTATTCTAGAGTTATCCTTCTTTGTATGCCGTATGGTCTATAGCTATGGGAACCTTCCCCCTTTTATTATTGAAGAATTATTTTTTGTTATATCATTATGAGGGTCTAAATGGGGGTCCTTCATTTCTGTATTCCTTAATTTTTTAGGCCATTTTTCTCTATTCTCTATTCTCTATTCTTTATATTTAAGCACTCAATTCTTTATGTTTTGGTCCATTTTTCTCTATTCTTTATATTTTTTGCCAATTATTCTCAATACTGTAAAACCCATCCACACCCTCTTATATGTATTGATAATCATAATTATATTGCATTGTCTGTATCTGTAAATTGATTGATATGCTTGTAATAAGCCCTATGACCAGGAAATAAAAATATAAGTGGTATAAAAATTATTCTATATGTTCAACACACATTATTTTTTGACATTGCTAATTAACTAAGTTGTTTGCATGTGCTACTGTTTTAATGGTCACTATATGTTTGATTTATTCGAAAGAAGAAAAAAAACGTTTATGGAGTCTGCGTTTTCTTGTTTTTAATCAATCATTCCGAATCAAAATTAAAAAACTGAATGATATTTTCAGATTATTTCCCCTGAAATTTCCATTTCAAAGAAAATTGCTAAATATTGAGTATTTTCCTTCTTTATCTGATTTTTTGTTTTTATTCATTGAAATAAGGTAGATAAGGGCGGTTGAGATCAAATCTCGTGGAGATATCAAGAGTATGAAAAATTCTATTCGTTTAAATGTATGAAGAATACCTTTTTGCAAATGTATCAAGATTAAGTATATATCTTTATTGAGCACCAATCCAGGCGATGAAGAAAAAAGATGATGATTCACGATGATGAATTACAATATTTATAATCTTGGCCCCCATTAAGGGCATGAATTATACCAAATACAAACTCCTAAGCGACAGCTCAAACTTTGATAAAGAAGTGTAGTTGATAGCTGTTTCCTTACAATAGGTTAGCCTCATTCCCTGAAAGATGTTAAAAAAATGGATAGCGAGACCAAATAATTAGAAAACAGAATGTAGTACTGAATCGTAATGATAATGAATATAAGCTGTCTATATTGTCTTGATTTATAAATCAGACAATGAATCATAAAATGTTCCAGTGTCGTAGCCTACGTGAGCAACACGATATGTGCCACATATGCGGAGAAGGATCTGCTTACCCTCAGGAGCACCTGCGATCACCCCCGTTGTTTGTTGGAGTTGGTTTTGCTCAGTCTTTATTTTTCTGTGTTGTGTTTTGGTCGGTTTTGGTTTTTTTACAATGGCATTGTCAGGTTGTTTTCGACTTATAAGTTTCAATATCGCTTTGGTATCATTCGCCTCTCTTTTACTCTTATTTCTACAAGGCAAACGATTTGAAGCTTTGGAGTCGATGTATCAACGCGGTTCAATGACCGCGATGCGAATAAGGAGATTACGGTTATTGGCCAAAATAGTCAGCATATACAAATGGAAAAAGTCAAATTATATACAGGTTTGATTAATTGATTGTTTATTGCCCCACATCAAGTGACAAATATTTCACGCATATTTTAGGCACAAGAATACATTAACAATAATCCAAAAGATATGTTCTACAGAGTGGGTCGGCCAATATGAGAGCACAAATTCCGACTGCAACTGGAAGAGAAGAGCATGTTAGACAGTAACAACAATTTTGTCGTGCAATAGGTCCGCTATGGACCCCTATTGATCCATGACAAAGGTGTTTCATGTGTTCTGTAAAGTTTAGAGAGCCGATACACTTTCCCTACATCCGTTTTAACCACAAAATGTGCCTCATTCTGACTGAAATTGGCTGTAATATCCTATTTGAAAATTTGAAACATTTGTTTTTATAATTATCTTTAAGATAACACTATTTACGGATATATATGTGAGAATATTACTTTGAATGAATGCATTTTTATAAATCTTATTGATTTCCAATTACTAGTAACTGACAATGCCATCTGCTTTCCTTTAAACAACAGTCTGATATGGCGATGAGCTCTATACGTTGTTTTAGAATTAGAAAGTTTTGTCTTTTAATATAAATAAGAAGATGTGGTATGAGTGCCAATGAGACAATTATCCATCCAAGTCACAATGTATAAAAAGTAAACAATTATAGGTCAAAGTACGGCCTTCAACACAGAGCCTTGACTCACACCGAACAGCAAGCTATAAAGGGCCCCAAAATGACTAATGTAAAATAATTCAAATAGGGAAATCAACGGTCTAATCTATATATAAAAAAGGAGAAACGAAAAACACTTATGAACCACACCAACAAACGACAACTACTGATCAACAGGCTCATGATTTAAGACAGGTGAATAAAAATGCAACGGGTTTAAACGTTTTAACAGGCGCCAACCTTCACCCTATCCTGAGACAGTAGTGTAACATTACAATATAAAAAGACACATTTTAAAGCTATCTGTGTATTAGCATTTTTCATAATATTCATAGAAAGTTTGCATTTCAACTATGTTCTTATTGAGGAGGAGCAGAACGGGTTGGGAGATCTCGAACATGATGACAAAGTGTTTTTGTTAATTTGTGTCATTTGGTTGCTGTGTCTTTTACGTTTAGCCCTCACTAATGAGGATCAGGAATGGAGAAAAGGGGTGGGTCCTTTATTTTTTTATTTTAAGACAATTTTCAGTGTTTCTTAGGTTTTTAAGCCATTTTCCCCTTTCCTTTATTTTTGTTGCCCCTTATTCCATACTTAATTTTTTAGCATCCTGTTATTCTTTATTCTAATTTTCTCGTTTTCTCTATTATGTTTCACCCATTATTCTCTATAATAGTCTAATATGTAACCCCATCCAGACACTCATTCCAACTCAAAAGATAGATACATTAAAAGAACTATTATAATTTTATGCAAAACTCAATAAATCATATGTCGATTATTATGTCTAATCCTGGAGAAGTAAACTCAAAGACTTGAAAATTGGTATTTGCTGGTTCTCCACTAAAACATGAGGAATAAGAACAAAGACTGCATTGTCGGCTCTGAGTCAGAATAATATGTCCTGTTATTTAAGGTGTCATCTTTTCCTGCAGAATGTCTCCTTGACAAATGTGAACTAGCGCGTTGAAAATTCGACTCAGCTTGTCGGTCATATACAAAGCAGGGGTAATAATCTGCATATCACTTCAATATATTCTTGTCCTGGTATGCATGTAATATTTGTCACTGGACGTAAAGCAACCATTCATCCTTGCTCTGACAATCAGTTTATAACGTCCGTTCATTCCAATTTGTTCTAAATGCATCAAAGATATATAAATTGAAAACTAATGGATACATGTACTATGAACATCAATATTATTTATTTTGTAAAAATATTTCCTTTCTCTATTGGAACTGTACACGTATACATAACAACAAAATTATAAAATTGTGGTGACGACAATTGGAACATATCCGTCGTCATTTGTGAAACAGATGTGAAGAAGTTAGAAGGAAATGTTTACGTCATTGTGTCTCTGTTAGAAAGTTGTATCATTGGCAATCATACTAAATCTTTTTATATTTATAACTTATCGTTTATACTTTTATAAGAGAAAAAAAGTATTTTAGGAAAATACCCTGATGGAGATAAGAAGTAAACTATGTTTGACTGTTATTTCTGATAAAACTATTCAGATGGCAATGTGTCCCGGAAAAGAGGATCACGAAGTGTGGTTATAGAAAAGAAAATGAAAATTGAAATAGATCAAAAGTTGTGATAATTTAGAAAAAAGTTGCCAGCTCATCGCACATGAGTTTTGTAAACTTGATTTTTGTTGTTGCTTCGAATGTTTTATCATATGGATAATATTTATGAAGTCGCGTGTAATAGAATATTCAGTTTTAAAGGTTTAAAACGATTTTTAAAACATTATCGTCAATGTAGTCCTAGTAGAAACCTCCACACAATAAAAGTTACTAGAACCGCGCTTTAATTAAAGTATTAAGACGCATAATATTAACTAAAGTATGAAATGGACATATTTTTTTCACGTTTTGAAATGAGGATAATGTTTCTTTTACCATAAAACATTCGGAAACCTGATGATTTTTATAAGCGGAAGTATTTCAAATTAATAATTTGCTTCTATAAATTATCTCCTCTTATATTCATGTTTTGAAAGATTTTGTAAATATCTGTAGCAAGCGTCGAATACATGTAGACACACGATCAGCTATTTATACTACGACAATTACTCAGTGATAAATGAAAAATATCAATATTGCTGCTTCCGTTAGAACCATAAACTCCTTACAAAGCATGATACATGTCTCACCTACAATTCAGACATGACATTCATAAACATTGATCTTATTTGAGGACATGAGGTAGCGCAATAAGACGTTGTGTGCGGTGTCGTACAAGCTATACCTAAATCTTATTAGACAGTGCCGGAAAATTCTTAGCTCAGTAGGGATCAGTATCGTAAAACAAGAATATTTGAATATTGCTTACATTGTACAGCGTCACATTATATGTTCCAGGCCAAATATTACTGAATAACAAAGCTGTGTAATATGTTACTACAAAACACGCTTACCGGGTATAATATGAATTAATGTATCACCAAACAGGAAATGACTGCCCGTAAGATTCCTTTATAATTACAGTGTACTGACATCTTAACATAATAACATTTCCGACCAAATATCTATCGTGTCTTTAATTGCAGAAACACAATACTTAAAAACTTGATACAATTTTTAAAACAGAATGTAACAAATAAATTATACGGAAAAGTGCCACTGTAAATAAAACGAATGTAAAAAATTCTAAATTTATTACAACCAAAAGCACAAACTTCCACTGGAAAAGTTCGTTTCTTTCAATCCTTCTATGAAAATGAAAAATTGTATTCCAATATTGAAAGGTAAAACATAAAAGCGCTCTTCAGAAACCTAAGTATAATTTTACAACACGACATTATTTGTCAAGTTTCAAAACAGCTTCCATCCCGAAAAAGCCCATCTTGAAGCAGCGTCATTTTTTATGCTCCCTTCCAAGTGTCGAGTAGCTCTTGTGAAGACATGATCATTTTCTACCAGATTTTCTATGATGAATCCTGAGGTACAGTCGTCGTCCCATTTGATCTCGGTATCCGAATGAACAGTAAATATGACTCTGCGGTTTTTCACAAGTTGGATAGACACTTCTCCATTACTCCCCGTTTTTCTTTTTCCCAGTACGCAGACAGACCAAGTGAAAGCATACGTTCCGCTATATGGCGGAACAAACATACCGGAAGTGCTATTGTAACCATTGCCGACATTCGTTTCAACATAGTCGTAAACAATAACACTGTTATTTCTTAACGTATCGCTGTCAAATTTTGAATCCTTTATTAGAGCTGTGAATGCGACTCCGTTTGATTCATTCATAATCTGTGGCGCAGAGGCATAGACTGCCCTTGTTTCTGAAACTGAAAGAAATAACTATATTATGCATGTGTAGATTTGTGTTTTGAAATGATACTAGTACGCGAAAGCCCTTATCTTACTCTACATTAGAGTTTAAATTTTGTGTTGTATGGAGACCGTAGAAAATTTTCACTGTTTGTTTTTCGGTTTGTTTAGAAATTTTTGATTTTTGCATACACATTACTTATCATTTCCTACCTACAACTTTCTTAATGTGCCACTTGGCTGTACACGGTTATGTATTGTTTTCTGTATTTTACAGTGAATTGGCAGGCAATAAAGTTGCCAGTATTCTTTAGATTTCTGTGTCCGTTATGCATCTATTTCTTCTGTAATTTGTTGATATTACCTATGTATATGTGCAAAGGTTATCGACATATGGCAGAGTATGTATAAATTGGTTTTAGGGGCCGTCTAAAACTTGCAATCAGTTGTGAGCTTTTGCCACGATCGAGACCTCAATGTGACTTTCAAATGATGAACAGCAATAAAAGCGCTTCCCTTTGCTTGGATTTTGTAAAGGTTGTGTACTTTTTGTCATCAATTAGTGCAAAATATCCACTTCCCATAATAAAACTGCAAAAATATATAAAAGTTTAAAACATGAAAACACACACAGCGTCCTTGAAGCCTTATATCGTAGGGCTAACTTTACATTTCTACCATGTTAGTAGCACATGTCAAACATGAAAGAAGAGCATGTTGGTAATTACAAATTAAAACTTGTCATGGACTTGAAAGAAAGGAAAGCCGAATCATATGACGTTTCCTAATAGTTTGAAAAATATCTTTATTAGTTATGGTCTATATTAATAGAGTATAAATTTACATGTACGTTCTGTATTATATTGATAAGGTCACAGTTTTGTTATTCTTTGTTTCGCGTCCGAATGCATGAAGATTTTTGATGGTCTGAGGTTTTTCACTAGCTGGCTAACAATTTTTGAAAGAGTGACTGGACACAAAACAAATATAACAAGCCAAAACCAGGTCCTGAACGGATACTTTCAGAGCAGATTTTTTTATTGTAAGTAAGGTGAAAATGCAAATTGCCCATATAATACACTGTAATTGATGCTATGATTTACAGTAAAAGGAGATGGAGTATACGTCAATGAGACAGAAACTCAACAATAAAAGCAACCACACAACTACAAGACTTCCAGATCTTCAACAATAGACATGTGTCTATACAATATATCAAGCTCTAAATCGTCATGTGTTATATTAAAGTTGAGAATAAATTAAACACACGCCATTAAAGGTTTGTTATCAACATTAAATGCTCGAAACAATGAAAACATTCACAAATGGCATAAGATAACCATTGATCAGGTTCCTAGCTTGTGACAGACACATGGATATGTTTCGAGATTAAATTATAATTTTGAATATTCACCCACCCCCCTTAAAACTCGATCAGTGGCTTAACTTATACCTTATTTGGTCTCTGGCGGAGAGTTGTCTCATTTGCAAGCATACCAAATCTTCTTATTTTTATATTAACAAACTTGGAGTTGGGAAATTTAAAACTTCAAAAATATCTTTTTTGTTCATATTAAACATGTTACGTGTATGTAGAAAAAGTTTGTGACAATTAAACATAAAAATTAAGTAAAAATGTGAGCAATCTTAAGAAGTCTCTTTGGATATGAAGCAATTTATTGTACAAAATTATTCTCTCGACTGGCTCCAGTGTTAGCTATTGTCCTCAATCAACGTCCGTCGTAAATAACAACAAAAACAACTCGCTATTTTTCATGAAAATGCCTATAATCTTCAGCATATTTGACAGTCCTTATTTTTCGAAATACATGTCTTGGGTTATTTCTGTTGAAATCAATCCAAACTGCAATGATCTCAAACTTGGGTTTTTTTTTAAAAAGAAATTTAAATATCTACTGTTCATGATTGAAGGTCGTTTGAAGACCCCTGGCTATACATCTAAAAACATTAACGGTACCAATTTTACTGATTTACACCTGATTTTGACAATTTTTTCTCTTCAGGGATGCTCGAGGCCAAAATATTTGAAAATCCAAAACCTAATTCAAACGTTGATAGAGCTAATAAAACCAAAAAAGAATCAAGAAAGAGTCAAACCCGGACAAAGAATCAGAGCTTTGCACGATGAATATACATTTCTTAACATAAACTTATTCCAAAATTTTATAACAGCGCAATAGAACAAAACCCGTATTTTCAACCAGTACCGATGAAAGTACATGTTTATTTGAAAATTACCTAAGTATGATTTTTTTTAGTGCAAAGATTTTAAAATTATAAAATTCTTCTATCTGTCATATAAAACGATATTCGTTAAAATAACTCTGAAAAACTGAAAAACAGCAACGTAACTAATTTAGCCAATTACCGTAAACTGTTGTGTTTCTAGCCGAATTTGGTAAATCACTATGACAGTTGTAAACTATCAAACCAGTAGCAAGACAAAACAAAACGTTTGCTATAAATCCAACTGCTAGTCCAAACGCCAGTCCTTTTCGCTGATCTCTCAAGTGTGCAATTCCTTTTAGTTTACAAACTTTATCCGGTTTTAGATCGGAACGAATTTTAAATTCTGTTCTTTCATGTTCTGAGTTTTCGACCAGTCGATAATCCATTGTTCTACTGGTATAATATTCAATCGGCAATCCTCGGGTGAATCCGTTACTCTTCTTCTATCGAAGGTACGGAATCGGCCGAGTTGTGACGAATGATATAATATCAGGTTGTATTCACTTGAAACACTAGTTTTAGTTGTTATTGTATAACTAAATTTATTTGAGAGTTGTGTGCTTATTCTATGATTTGACAGCGATTCTATTCCTGTTTTAATTAATGAGTATTATATGTCAGGACAAGAAGAGACCATGTGTAGGTTAAGTATATCTCTCCGATAGTACTTATAGTATTAAAGTTACTTTAAGAGAGGCTGTCAATTAATTTAAATTAAGATACTGAAAGGCAAATGTTCATTATGTAAAAACGTGAATCTTATTGTAAGTATTTTAATCGTTAGAGAATACTAAGGCCAACATTAGAAACACTTGTTTCAGGGTTTCTTAATCTTCCTTATTGTTATGCCCCTAAAATGCCTATCCTAATTGTTTTACTGGCAATTTTGAAAGGGTTGCAGGTGGTCCTTATATATGCAAGGTTACTAAGATAATTAGTAAAATAAAAAAAAATTCTACCTGTACCCTATTTTTCTAATTGCGAAAACCTTTAGTAGAGATTTAAGGACATGGGTCATTTTAAAGTTTTATTTCAGTAAAGTCAATTATAGATAGTCTAAATCTTTACAGGACTTCACATTAACACAGCTTTATAATCATGCTCATGTCATCATGCTCAAATGACATGAGCCAGTTACCTAACAACTACCATAGACTTTTAAATTTGGTATATTTTTTTATAAATTATGTGCACACTTAAGCTTGTGTCTCAGCTACATATTCAGTTTTGCTGTATGTGTTTATTTGACTCTTAAATTGAAACGGTAGATGAGTTGTCACTTTTAAAACTATTAGGTACTGATCTTTTCTGGAGGAAAAAAAATGTTTCCCAATTTATTTTAATGAATTGATTTATTCTGTTTCTGGAGAGAAAAACAAAATTTCGGTATCAGAAGGGAAGTGAAAAAAATACTTCATTTCAATTTAATAATAAACTAAACATTGATTTTCAAAAAAGGATCTGCTTTATAAAAGTAATCCTGAAAACTGATATTTTGTTTGTTTCATAAAAGTCTGAAAACATTTACATTCACTTCATTTGAACTTTGGTTGATAGTTGTCTGATTGGCAATCATACCACATCTACTGTTGATAGTTGTCTGATTGGCAATCATACTACATCTACTGTTGATAGTTGTCTGATTGGCAATCATACTACATCTACTGTTGATAGTTGTCTGATTGGCAATCATACTACATCTACTGTTGATAGTTGTCTGATTGGCAATCATACTACATCTACTGTTGATAGTTGTCTGATTGGCAATCATACTACATCTACTGTTGATAGTTGTCTGATTGGCAATCATACTACATCTACTGTTGATAGTTGTCTGATTGGCAATCATACTACATCTACTAAATGTTATATTTAACCCTAGATCCCACAAAAAAGAAGAAGATGAATGAACGGTGCCTTCCACACCATGAAAGTCTTGCCTGCTTATGTTCGCGATTGCATCCTTAAGATTACGGTCTTACTATATAAAGGTTATTGGTTTTTTTTAATTTTATTTTTGGTGACCGATTGCTATGAGAAGTACATCTGCAGTGATCATTGGCTTGTCAAAACTGAGGTTGTGTATTCGAACCCCGGTCGTTACAGGTACGTTTGACTAGGATTGAAAATTTTCCTGCCAAAGGTTGGTGGTTCTCTCCGGGTATTCCATCTTTCTCTATCATTAAAAACTGACCAAGAGTGTTGAAAGCGGCGTTAAGCTCTAACACCAATAAATCATTCAATGAATCATAAATTTACATGTAAAATTGCCAAGGATTAAAAATGTTAGATCAAGGTCAGGTGAACCCTATCAGACGACATGTACAGCTAATTAATGTGGATTCATTATTATTCATTTATCGCGGATTTCGTTGGTAAAGGTAAACCAAGAACTTAAATGTACAATTTTATAAAGGTTTGTATGAAAACTTAGGTTAAGCCGATAAAAAAAACTACGAACATACAAGTTTTCCTTTTAATTTAATTTGAAATGTTTTGAAATGAAACATAACAATTGTGAGAAACGTTACTCAGTAATTAACATGGATGCTGTTCAAAATAAAAGTTTAAAGTATGAGTTTAATCTAAAATAATTATTGTATTTTCAAGACGTGAATGCGTGTATACTCCAGATATTAGCAATATAAGTGTCAACTTATTTCATTTAATGGAAGTAACCGGCATCAAATTAATTTTGTTTATATTTGCAGAAACATATATATATAAAGTTTATAATTTCTTTGATATTTAGAATTATTTTCGTGCTTAAAATTTGCTCAAATGGGATGGATGGCTTGGCATCGCAACCCTGATGAGAGAAAGCACGAAAACGGGCACAGGGGTCGTTACCCTTTCTATGAAAATAAAATGAAAAATGAAAATAACGCTTTATAACATGTGCATATGTTCATTGCGTGCACATTCCACTACAGTGTTAATAATGTATCACTTACAAAGGAATATTATCACGCATTTGACAGATGTCGTTATGTTGTTGACAAATTTTATGGTATTATTAGGGAATAACATTGGTTCCGTGCTTGGGCATCGTCCTCATTTTATCGTTGGACTAAAGCATAAAAGATTTGAGCTGGGATTTTTTGCTTTGAGTAATAGTTGAAGTCTCATGCTCCACTGATAGCCGAAAAGGAAAATATGTTTGAAAAAAAATGACGACGGACGAGCGACGAACGCAGATTCAATTGATGTTCAATATTGGGAAACTGCAACAATTTTCCGTTAGATTGTGTACTGAGGCTGCAAAGAGGGCATGAAGAATAAGTATAAACGAACATAATTACAGCAAACCTTCTAGCGAATTATTTCACGAATGTGACATTGTGCCGATAACAAAGAGAAAACATTATCATAAATCATTACTTATGTATAAAGCAAAAAATGGTTTAGCTCCAGAATATTTGTCGAGTCTTATGATACAAAAATACAATGCGAGTATTTTATCATCCGATAATTTAATAATTCCAAAGCCAAATGCATATTTGTATAAGTCTAGTTTCTCGTATAGTGGACCACAAGTTTGTAATGCTCTTCCTAATACTATTTAGAAATCAAACGCAGAAACTGTGTTTAAATTTAAACATAACTACAAATCTACGTACTTTTAACATTGTAATATTTGCACTTTAATGCCTTACAATAATTGCTTATCGAATTTATTGAAATTTGTGTGTAATACTAATGAGTTACACTCTCTAAATAAAGATATTATAATTATTATCATTAACGCAGGATGTCAAACGGACGACGGAGTGATGATAAAAGCCCTTGACAACAGTCTTTTATTTTGGATCCTGAAAATGCACAACTTAAAAAAGGAATCATATGTGTGTATTTTGTTATCGAGTTGCATAAATGTTTTATTGAACTTTTGTAAATTCGACTTGATTACTAATTCAATGAATATCTTGAAGTTGTATAAAAGCCTAAAAGTATAAACCCCAATAATTTAATACTTTTATTCCGCAGCTCTACGTTGGCTATGCTCCAAATGTTGTAACTATAATCACGTCCCCTTTCCCCGAATGTTACCTACCGAATTAGACTCATTACCGGGTTTGTATAACATGAGCAACACGACGGGATCTGCTTTACCTTCCAGAGCACCTGAGATCATCCACAGTTGCTGGTGGGTTCGTATTGCTCAGTCTTTAATTTTGTATGTTTTGTTTTGTGTACTATTGTTTGTTTTTCTTTTTTTCGTTTTTAGCCATAGCGTTCGTTATCAGTTTATTTTCAACTTATGCGTTTAAATGTCCCGTTGGTATCTTTCGCCTCTCTTCTACAATGACTTGCATAAGAGATCGATCACAGGAAGGGTCTGAATTCGTGTTAAATATAATATCAAAAGATTATAATAATCTTGAGGAAACAGTTGTCTTTAAAAATACAATGTTAAAGTAGCTGTCGTAATGATACAATGCAACTAAATTTATCGATTCTCAAGAGCTAACATGACAATCATATCTACAATTTCTCAATCTTTCCTCCATGATTAAAATCAAGTAGAATTCTGCCACAGTGAACGCGAATGCTTGAATACACAAAAAAAAAACAATATTTGCCTACTTGTTTCCTTCTCTTATTCAGATTTAGCAGAAATGTACACTCCGTTCTAACTTCAGTGTATCGTAGTCGTTCGCTTGTCATTATTTCTCTTTATATATATTTTTTATTAATACGATAAAGTTATTTCCTGTTCTAAGATGTGAATTCAAATTCTCCCGCGTATATGACATGTATGATTATCGACAAAGTCATTGGCACGTGATACATGGGAGATTACGGGTGATACCACCCTAGATATGATCATAAGTAAACACACACAGGCGTTGGCTACATATCGTTTATCATTTAACAGGTAAAGCAAACATGCATTCAATCAACATTAAATTCTCAATTTGTATAAAAAAAAGCGCACGCTTCTAACATTTCTTTTATAAACGAGTCGATGAGACGAGTCTTAACTGTACTATTCAACATCCGTGTCCCAAATATTCTCTAGTTGGGAAAAAGTAAATACATGTATAGTATTGCAGTCATTGCAAGAAAATTAGATTTTTATCAGCATTTATCGTGTATTCAGACAAGAACAATCTCTAGCAGACGTATTTTGATTATATTAAAACAGATACATATAAACGTCTCTGATTCAAACATGTCAAACATGGTATTTGCTTTTCGTTGCTTGAATTTTACAAAACTTGGATATGTTTGTTCATGATCAAGACCTGATAATATTATACTAAGTATTAGTATTAGTTTATTAGTCCCAGTCAAGACATTATCCCAAGCCTAAGCAATATGTTTTAATATGATTCTTTTTAATTATTCGATTTTTTAGGGATAGACACCAACATAACTTTATTAAATTCTTCATGGAATGTCAGGAAAATAAGTGACACTGTCCGGGGCTTACTATACTTTAAACACGATGGCTCTTCTGTTTAATTTAAGGTTGAAAATAAGAATTTTACAAACCTAGAAAGGTATGTCTGTCTCTAAACTCACTAGCGACATGTTTTTCGAAGTCTCATATCTTCAGTTACAAAAATAGTCGTCTAATCTATAATTGTACCGATTTGTCCTATGGTTGTGGCATATGAGTAAGATTTAGCGTAGTGGTTGATCCAATCCACACTGTCCTAACTAACGCCAGGATAGTTTATAAGATCTTGTCATGCATATTTTACTCTCGGGAGACAAAGCGTAAGATTAAATGGATAAAAAGTAAAATCACAAAAATACTGAACTCCGAGGAAAATTCAAAACGAAAGTCCCTAATCAAATGGTAAAATCAAAAGCTCAAACACATCAAACGAATGGATAACAACTGTCATATTCCTGACTTGGTACAGGAATTTACTTATGTAGAAAATGGTGGATTAAACCTGGCTAGCTAAACCTTTCACTTGTAGGCCAGTTTTTCACAAAATTTCATTATATTGACAACGATGTGTGAACAAAACAAACAGACATAATAGGTAAAAATGTCAAAAATAGGGGTAATTGTGTGAACTAACAGATGAACTGTTGAATTAAATGTGCTATTAAAACATCTATTAACGATTTTAAAAGTTTATAATCATTCTAATAGTAATTCTCTATATATGTCCTTTAGTCTCATTTAGCCAACGTTTTTATACCTTTTTATATTTCAGATGAAGAATATATATCGTTTACTTCATACAAGTGGTGAGAGGGTTGGCTAGCTATAAAACCAAGCTAACCTACCATATTCTTTAGAAAAAAGATTTAACCAAGTCAAGAATTTGTTTTCCGTTCGTTCAATAAGATGATTTAGCGTTTGATTTTGTCAGTTTTTACGGACTTCCACCTTTTTCGAAATTATATGAATTCGTGTAGTTCGGTATTTTGGTTAATAATTTTTACTATTTAAATGTTAGGAATATGCGTTGACACATTTTTTTCAATTATTTGATAGACAATTTGACCGTTACTAGAGATATTAATATTCCGAAATTTACTAAAGATTCTTTGTTTAACGTAGGTTGGGTCATGACCACCGTTATACATTGTGGACCATGTTTGTACGATGAAACCCATCAGAATGCTAAAAAATGGTGTACCAGTTGTGAAGAGGGTTTATGTGAAGAGTGTGAGAAAAATCACAGGAAAACCAAAACGACAAGGGACCATAAACTTATCTCGACTGACGATTATCGGAAGATAAAAGACGTTCCAATCTCTCTCACCTGCAGCCTCCATGACAAGAAACTAGAGTGGTTTTGTAAATTTCACGACAAAACTCTTTGTGTGATATGTTTGCCGACTGAACACGGATCTTGTTCCGATGTCATACCAATAGATGTTGCTGCTACAAATGCAAGACAATCCACCGCTTTATCCGACTTACAGGAGGCAATCGAAATAGCATTGCTTAATATAAAACTTTGCATCAATAATAGAAATACTGCCAGGGAGGATATTGAAAAGCAAGAGAAAGATATAAGAAGAATTATCCGAGATACGAGAACAAAAATAAATGATCATTTAGACAAGATGGAAGAAAAATTAAATCAAACATTGGTATTAGCATCAAAAACATGCAAATCGAAATGTAATAAGTTTCTACAACAGTTTCATTCACACGAGGAAACGTTTATCAAATTAAAAGATCAAGTATTGCAGATGAAAGAGTTTGCCTCCGATCTACAAGTATTTCTTGGAACACGTCAAATTGACAAATTGGGTATGAGTGAAATAGAATCATGTAAAACTGCAACTGTTTATATCCACGATTACAAATTCAACCTGGTTCTTAACAGTGATATTCAGAAATTATCAAATGGCGTAGTCAAAGAGTTTGGAGAAATTCAAGTCGCTGAACATGCCTCGAATTTATACATAAAAGAGGTAAAAATAGAGCAGGCTCAAATACAGCAAAAGGTTCAACCCTCGGGTAATGTCGCTGACATAAACCTCCAACTAATAAGAAAGGTCGATATCAAAAGAGGACATGATTTGTCGATTTCAGGTTGTGCGATATTGCCTAACGGGCATCTATTGTTTGCCACCTTCCAAAAAAACAGAAACATATTGGAATACAACGAAGAAGGTAACTACATTGGCAGTATTCAAGTTTCTGCTGATCCGTATGATATCACAGTGCTAGATTTGGATCGCATTGCAATCTCATACGGAGGTAACGGATTCTTTGAAATATTTAACTATCGCAATAATAGGGTTGAAAAAAAGATAGAGACAGGAGGCCATTGTGGGGGATTGAGTCAGTCAAATGGTAAAATTTACGTAAAACTTGATCAAGTTGCCGTTTTTGACATTACGGGAGAGAAACTATGTGATATGGCTTCAGAAGGCAGACTTTATATATCTGCATCTAAAAACTATCTATTCTGTTCAAGTTATTCAAATTCCAATGTATTTTGTTATGATATGAATGGACAAGAAGTATGGAAGTTTCAGGATGATTCTTTGGGGTTTCCGTACGGCGTAGCAAATGATTGTTGGGGTAACGTTTTCGTTGTTGGTGGTACATCTAAAAACCTGATACTTATACAACATGACGGGAAAGCATATAAAAAACTGTTTAATTTTGATAGGTATTCAACTCCGCGTGTGGTATGCTATGATAAGGACAAAAATTCCCTCCTGATCTGTGATCAATACGGTGATCATTGTGCCTTGTATAAAGTATTGTACAATTAACTAACCATTTTCAAACTACAAATGGTACAGCAAAATGTCCTCTTTGAAATGATACCATAATTATCATTAGGCTTCTGATTAAATGTTTATAACTATCCACCAAATTAAGTTATGTGAATGTAAGCAACTGATTATGTATTTTCATTTTCATTTATAAAATGAAACTTTATGATTCGTTGAAGCAAATTATTTGAAAGCTGGAATTTGATCGACTGTCATACTTATTACCGTGTATTTCGTATGAAAACCATAGAGGCACATTATATTTACTTCGAATTAGTTGAGTTGCATTAAAGCCTTAAGGGTTAGGTTTATGTTACAATCCTCTTGAAACACAAATATCCAGAAGTTTATATAAACTGAGGAAGAAAGCTTGTTATGTTTAATATTTTCCTATCTTTAACCAATCAAATTTAGGTCAACAACATTTTTCGTTATTGCATGCATTTTCCAGTCATACATTGTCCTAGGATCTTTGATCAGACTGTCAAACGATTTTATGCATTTCTTAAACAATTTTATAGGAAACTGATCGCAAAAATATTTGCTTCTGATTTCGGTTTGTCAATCCAATAGTCTAGAATAGCTGGATTCTTACAATTCAGAATGTTAAATCAGAATAGTGGTTGCAAAATTCAACATACTGCCCTTCATACATATATGGCTCACTTTAATATCCTCTCCATTATAACGATTGTTTTTATCATTATATAGATTGATTTTTAACTTGTGAGAGCTTTCCAGATCTTCCTCTTTTCCAATACTTTGAATAACCAATTTGGTATACTAAGTACGACAATATGTGCATGCTTGTTATACATTATTTTCATGTATTGTCATTAAGGGAAGGGTTTACAAGGTATAACATTTTTTAGCTTAAATTTACATCTCCGTTGATTAACTATCATATGTAAAATAAAATTAGCACAAAATCAACAAAATCAACAGGATGATAAACTATATCTATGCCATCTGTGAGACCCTTATGTTTTTTTAACCTGAAAAATCTAAGGATTATTGTGGCATAGTAATGTTCCAATTGGTCAAATACTTTCAGAGGAGAAGATTTTTGTAAAAGCTATCAAACCACAGATGATTGACATTGACGTCAAGTGATGAAAGTACTTCACACCATCCTTTTGACCATGTGAACAAAACAAATTGAAATTAATCTTATTAAGTGTAAACTGGTCAGACAAGTGCCACATGTGGAGCAGGATCTGCTAACCCTTCCGTAGCACATGAGGTTCCCCCTTTATGGTCTTTAGTTTTCTATGTTGTGTTTTATGTACTATTGTTTGTTTGTTTGTCTTTTCTTTTTTAGCCATGGCGTTGTCAGTTCATTTCTGATATATGAGTTTAAACGCCCCTTTCGCCTCTCTTTTACTTAAAAATATGGCAGGTCATTATGCATTTTTTTCAATTTGTCATTAATATCTCTTATTACCTAAACTTAATTTGAAATCATTTTTCATGCTAATTTAAGTAGATGTTTATGCTATTTCAAATTACGTTGCAATTTAATGATTATGTTTTTGGAATTTGATATTGTTTGCAACGTACCCTGCCCATAACATTCAAAGATACTTATTGGACATATTTACATATTCTTACAAATCAAAACTCAAAATAGATAAGAAAGAAGATATTTTTCTGTTTTTATAGTTTATAAGGAAACAACAATTTGTTCATGCAAAATTGTGGTTCATGGCTATTTTCAGAATCGAGATATTACAATTAGATATGATAAGTGGTAAAATTCTTCCATGAATCCTGAGAGATGGAAATTACATAAACGGTACTAATGTTTCCTGCACCAGATGCGCATTTCGACAAGCAATGTCTCTCCAGTGATGCTCGAAGCCAAAATATTTGAAAATCCAAAGCTTATTAAAAGGATGAAGAGCTGTAAACCGTATAGCCAAAGCCGGGCAAGGAATCAGAGCTTTGCATGAGGGAGATACATTACATAGTTTTAAATAATTTCAAAAAATTTGTAACAGCAAATTTTAATAACTCAAAATCCGTATTTTCATACCAGTACCGAAGTACTGTGCTACTGGGATGGGGATACCCTCGAGGACTATCAGTCCACCAGCAGAGGCATTGAACCAGTGGTAGTAATAACATAAACGGTACCAATCGGAAAGTAATCATTCATTAAGTTGATACAAACACGTAACAAAAAAAATTTTCTCAGTTAGAAATCTTTATTTTTAACCACTGCTGATATTATTTTTCTCCATGTTATCATCAAGTATTGTTTCATCGGCATTCTCTGTCCCTTTTCATCTCATTTTATTGTTAAATTATTCATATCATTACAAAAAAGTCTTTCAGATTCATTGTTAGTGACTTAACCAATATCAGTTATCGCTCTATGGTCTTTTAAACCATCACTACCTTTAACCCCTAGAAAATCTCATCGATTGCTGCACCAATGTCCCTAGAATATATTCGATCTGATGGTTTAGAACGCTGATCATTCTTCCTTAGTTTACACGCCTCATCAAACGGGGGATGAATTAGACGTTGTCTTGGGATATGATACGCATAGTCCTTTCCTGGTTCAAGCTGAAAATACAATTATGATTGCATTTATAAGGAGATGTGGTATGATTGCAAATGACACAACTGTCAACCAAAGTTTAAAAGGAAGTAGATGTTAGGAAAGACTAAAAAACATTTTAGCAACTCAAATTTGCATACCAAAATTTCAGAATAGTCAGTAACTAAATATCAAAATATGAAAGAAACTTCTTCAGAAGAATGTCTATAAATCTAGTTAATTTCCTGCACAACGGGGAGTTAGAAGGGATAACTTTAATTATCAAAATTATCTCAGGCCAAGACAAGGCTTTTTATCTGTGATTAGATAAGTCAGTAAAGTACATTTTTTATCAAACAATAATAATTTTAGATCACAAGTTCCAGTTTTATACCCGGGTAATTTTCTACACGACTCACTCTGCCATTTTGCTCACTTTTACGTTTGAATACTTTACATGTTTGCCTTTAACGTGTTTAAGATCAAGTCATAGATTTAAGACACGTACGAAACTGTTAATAAGTAATGACCCCAAACTTAAATTAGTTTCGAGCAATCTATAATAACTTTAAATTAAACAAATGATATTCGTAAACTGACATTTTTTGTTCAGTTCAAGGACTATTCAAAACTCAGCTTATAAGTTAACTGAATTAACCCGCGAACCACTTTCTAAATAAACCAAGTCTCAATACGTGGATATTTAAAGTATTTGCTAAAGAAATTCAATGTAAACACTGGCCAAAACTAGCCAATTTTAGTCAACAGAAATATACATCAAATTAAAAGAGAGAATTGCTGTCTAGAAAATGTCGAAATAAACATTTTCGACAATACACTGAATACACTAAATATATCACAACCATTGTGCGAGATTCGTCATCGACACCACTTCAAAACGATGACATACATGGGGAAAGTTCCCGTAAGGATCTGAGCTGGGAGTGATTTCTAGAAGACAATGACTGCACGAACTTAGCACTTCTGTGTTGACATGTATTATCATTGATATGGTCATATTTATAAATTAACTGTTTACAAAACTTTGAATTTTTGAAATACTGAATAAATTAAGGCTTTTCTCAGGAATAGATTACCTTAGTTGTATTTGGCAAAACTTTTAGGTATTTTTGGTCCTCAATGATCTTCAAATTCGTACTTTATTTGGCCTTTTTAACTTTTTTGATTCGAACGTTACTGATGAGTCTTTTGTAGAAGAAACGCGCGTCTGGCGCAAATACATAATTTTAATCCTGGTATCTATGATGAGTTTATTTATTTACCCCCGGGAACTTAGGCGTGCACTCTGATTGGTTGAGAAAGGAAAATATTTTGAATGATAATGCGAGGTTGCTACGTCTCAAAACTTTATGAATGAAAAAATATGTGAGTAACAAAATAATCATACCCTTAAAAGGCTTGAATAGTCCGCGGTTTTATTTTCCAAAATTAAACCTGCAGACAAGGGTGCGGAATATAGAGTACAATAAGCAAGAAATAAGAAAAAAAAACTTCGATATCGCGAGATGGTTTGTTTACGTTCCGCCATGTTTGTTATTGATATTGTAGAGGGCGCTCTTATCATTTTCAAAACTAATAATTTTACCTAATTAATATTAATAAGTTATTTTTATTCAATATCAAATTAAAACTGATAAATTTAAGAATTAAATGCTTCATTACAAATTTCTCGTTTCTTTTCACTGCATTGCTTAAAATAAACTGGAATCTGCTTGAATGAAACGGAACGAAAAAAGTATAAAGGTCAACCGTAAACCAGCTTACGATGTATAAACTACAAAACGTAATCGGTTATTATTCGTTCCGTTTTGGTGTTTCATACTGACGAATATGTTTTGTATTAGCTTAAGACCCTTCAAACATTAATGTAATAGATATATTAAACATTTCTTTACACAAGGATGGAACTGTTTTACTTTCAATGTCATATTATAGTGATATCTAAAACACCTTTTTGAGAAAACAATTAAAAACTACTTATAAATATATTATTGTGACTCACAAACGTTACAGAATACTTAAAGCATTTTATTGGTTTTTGTAGATTCGCTGGTTACAGAATGATTTAGAATTGTGCAATCTTGAGTGGTTTTAAAGTACAAACTTAAAATTATCCGAAAAATTCAGTCGTTTATCCCACTGCTCTACTGTAGATACATTAACGCGCATAATACATTCATCATAGATACCAGGATTGAAATTTTGTATTTGCGCCAGACACACGTTTCGTGTACAAAAGATTCATAAGGATTCGATAACAGGATTGGTCGACAAAATTATCGTGTTAAAAAGTAAAATTATCTCGAGGAAACAGTTTTCCTGCAAAATGCAAATTTCAAGTAAAAGGGAGGCGAGAGATACTAAACCGATAAGAAAAACGCGTAAGTCGAAAACGAAATGACAATGCCCTGTAAGGATCATAATGATGCAATTGGAATACATATGTAAACGTTTCTGTATTCAAGAATGGTTTTACACTAGTCATTTTTTGGGGCCCTTTATAGCTTGCTGTTCGGTGTGAGCCAAGGCTCCGTGTTGAAGACCGTACTTTGACCTATAATGGTTTTTCTTTTACAAATTGTGACTTGGATGGAGAGTTGTCTCATTAGCACTCATACCACATCTTCTTATATCTACTAACATGAGAGCGTGTCATCTTAACAAATACTAATCTTTTTCGTGATTAAAACAAAAACGTATGATCGGAAGACAATGTGTGACGAAGTAAAATTCTGCCTG